TCCAGTTCGCACTGTCTGAAGATTGTTCGCTTTAAAAGGCCTGCATAGCTAAACCAAAGCATACTGTGGTAGGCCTAAAACACACACCACCATACAAGTAACGAAAGAAAGCGACAATTTAGCCTCTATTTATGTCACCGCTGTGCACAGTAATGGTTACATGTACATTGTATTAATTAGCGTTTCACCCCCGTGTCAACCCAACTTACCTCTATTCCAGCAGCTACACACGTCAAACGAGTTAACTCTGCTGCGCCGCGATGGTAGAAGTAATACAGCTTGGCCGACATCTTAAGCGTCTGCTAGATTTTTACCGGGAAAATGCAGTTAGAATCTAGTAGTTTGGGAATTCAAAAGTTCCCGGTCCAAGTCTGTTTTACCGGCAAAGATGAGAACTTGCTACTTTCGGCTGCGTCAGCACACCTACTTTCGCTCTGAACAGAAGGCCTGCTCTTAAAACGAGCGAATGAAGTATTAACTCCTTAGGTCTTAGCCTAACTGAGCACGAATATTTCACAGCTTGGTGGCTGTATCCACTAGGCGCGCACGATAACTCTAGTCAAGACTGCAGTGGCTGTATTAGGCTATAATAAAATGTAACACGAACACAAGGCGCGTTTTGCAGAACAAAACACTACACACACACAAACACACTCGCTTAGCGGCTTGACCCACATTGCTTGACGCACAAGCGTGACTGCTGTGTGACACAGATTCTGAATTGAACCATGAGTTTGCGGCCATAGACTTGTAGTGTAATCCAAGACTGCATACTCTGACATACTTCCGGTATACCATGGAGTCCATCATTAAATTAAATTGACTCTAATTGGACCCAAATGAAAGGAGAGGAGAGAATGGTTGCGTGCGCTTACGACTGTATCGAAATTGGTGCTTTTCCCTTCATTTGGGCACCCGTGGTGTACATTAGAGCTGTGAAATTTATATATATATATAGAGAGAGAGAGGAAAACCCCCCACAAAAAACTGGCTGCCATGACAATTTCCGATCTAGGGTAATAGTTAGCACATTACTAGTCTATTTTTGCAGATTTCTTTCCGTTGGCTACAGCATTTAAAGTGCTTTTGAGAGCTTGGGGGTTAACTTGACGTTTTTTTTTCTTTCATTCATAATCGACAAAAGCAGACGATCATTCCCTTGCTTGAAGGCTCTCAACAGAAAGCTACATTACCCTGATCTTTTCCCGTCATCCATCTGTTTAGGTTATCCAAGTAGGTAATTGCTCTGGGTCTACCCCCGCCTCGTTTGTCTTCATTTTTGCCTGTAAAAGCTAGATATTCGGCCAGTAAAAGCTAGATATTCAAGACCTTTATGTCTGTACAGGTGTCCCAGAAACTGCATTAATTTGTCTTTTTTAAATTGTTTTTATCAGCAAGCACCCTACGTGGCCTTCAGCAAGTACTACCTCATTTGATTTCTCTTCCTTCCCAGAAATTCTCAGCAGTCTCCTAAGAAACCACATTTCTCCATTTTTTTTCTTTAGTGGCTGTCCAGCCTTCACAGCCGTATAGAAGGGTTGACCACATATATAGCATTTCAGAACTTTTATTTTTGGCAGTTATTGAGATTAAGATGTTTTTATTTTTCAGGATTGGGCTCATTTTATAGAAACCAGCCTTAGCCATCGCAAGTCTCCGCTTCACGAGTTCATGCCTGTGGAACATTTGGCATCAGCTGTTGTGATAGATCCTAGATATTTATAAACCGTTGGACTTGTTTGGTCTTTTCACCGCCTTTGCTTACTGGATAACAAATAAGATCTGTTGCTTTCTAAAACATCACAGTGCATTGTTTTCTTCCCACTCACCAATAACCTTGTGGGTGGTTGGCGGGTGCTCTGGGGTGGTTTGCTCCTTCTTTCCTATCAAACATCTATCATCCTGGTCTCTCCTCCTTTTCTTGCGTTTGTAACTCTCTTGTAACACCTCTAATCTTCTGCACTTATATGACCTTATTATATTGCAAGTGCCGTAAAACTATTACTAAAACTAAACTAAAAACCAATAACCGTTTCCGTTCCCTCTCCATGCGTTGCGACAGTGTGTCCACAACTTCCAGAAGTGACTGGAGCTCAAAGACCTTACTGTAACCTCCTTGCTGGAGCTCCTTTTCCGAGTCTGCTTTTGGGACTCTGTCAGCACGTGTCTGACGTCATCAATATTTTCACCATTCTCTATTGGGACCTGGACTTTCTTCTATATTTATAAAGATTGTTTGACTAGACTGTATGTATTGTTTTTGTTTTGGTAAGTGTTTTAAGGCCCTTGCAACTGCATAAGGTCATATGCGCGCGCTGGACACAATGTATAATATACAAATTTTCAGTTTGGAAGGAATTAATTGTGAATTTGTTCCGGGTGGCGGTCGAAGCCTATTATTA